TGATCAGGGAGCCCGATGCGGGACTCGATCCCGGGACTCCAGGATCATGACCTGAGCCGAAGGCAGTCGCTTAACCAACTGAGCCACCCAGGCGCCCCAAGATTACTGTACTTTTGAACATCTCCAAATTTTTAGTCTTCTGATAGGGAAATTCTATTTATTGTCTAACCAAAGATCAAATAAGATAATGTGTGTCAATGCACTTTGTAACTTAAATAACACCCACAGGGCGCCTGGGTGGCTCAGTTGTTAAGCATCTGCCTTCGGCTCAGGTCATGATCCCAGAGTGCTGGGATCGAGTCCCACATCAGGCTTCCTGCTCAGCGGGAAGCCTGCTTCTCCCTTTCCCACTCCCCCTGATTGTGTTCCCTCTCTCGCTGTCTCTCTCTGTCAAATAAATAAAATCTTTAAAATAAATAAATAAATAAATAAATAAATAAATAAATAAATAAAAAAAACCCACAGGTCAAGTCCTGCCCACTTTTGACCCTGCCTCTGCAATTCTGATCTAAACATTTCATAGGCCAATTTTATTTTTGTAAATCCTGGTGGCTTTTCTTGTTATATCTGCTTTTTCTTCATGAACTGAGAATCTGGGGCATATGTGGGCCCTGTGGAGGCACTTCCACAAAGCCTCAGAGGCATCACAATTAATACTTGCTACACTTGCTTCTATAGCTGTTAGCATCCTTGAGGAAAGTGAAGTTCGGAGAGATTGAGTAGTCTCCAGGCCTTCTGACTCTAGGTTCAATGTTGTTTAGCTTCAGGTTTACTTAACTAAAATTATTTAAATGATTTCTTTTTAAGATTTATTTATTTATTTGAGAGAGAGGGTGTGAGGAAGGGTGGGGGGATCCTCAAGCTGACTCCCCACTGAGTGCAGAGCCTGCCGCCAGGGGGCTCAAACCCAGGACCCTGAGATCATTACCTGAGCCAAAATCAAGAGTCGGCTGCTTAACCGACTGAGCCACCCAGGTGCCCCTAAATGATTTCTTAGAAAGATTTATCAATTACACATACTGTGACTCTTACTCCACTTAAGAAAGAATGAAACAAAGAATGAATGAATGCTCAGCATAATTTATAAAATATAAATTAAAACAGCCCCAGACACTTTGGCTGCTCTGTAGAATCAGCAGTAGTGACACAGGTGTTTTCCAATGAATGAATTTAATTAATTGGAGACTCCTGCCATTTTATAAGGCTCTTGAATGCCTTTGGTGTTTTCTCCTGGTCCACAGAAGGTCTCCCCAGTTGCACTAGGCAGTCTCCACTGGAAAGGCCACCCATACCTCTCATAAAGTGTTTAGGAAATGTGGCCTCCGCACTCCCTTACTGGGAATCCCACTGTAGCTATGAATGTTGACAAAGTCCCCTGCTATCTCAGAGCCTGGATCTGATGTCTGAGGCTGGGCAGGGAGCAGGACCAGAGCCCTCCCCTCTGGTTTCTCTCCTGGCTATTTTGCTCCACTTATGTTCCTAGGGACCTTGAATGAGGTGTACCTGGGGGGTAGCATGCAGGTCCCTTTCTACTGTGAGAGCCTCTGGTCAGTAAGCTGAAGAATTATTGGGGAGACTTCTTTTGTTTTTTGCACTGGAGGCATGGGGCTCTTGCAGGAAGCATGTGTGTATGGCAAGGAGGGGTGGTTACATTTGTGTATTGGCCCTTTCCTTGTTTGAAAACAGTTGCAAAATTTGCTCTCTGAAAGAAATTGATAGTAAAGAAACCAAACCCTCACTTGGGGGGAATGGGACAGAGCCTCATCCCTACCTGTTTGCAAAGTGTTCTCACAGCTGCAGCCCAAATGGCATTCACAGCTTAAATGGCTGTCAAAGAGTCTCATCAAATGCTTCTGGAAACCTGATCCAATCTGACACTTCCCCAAATCAATAGCAATCGCTGTCACTCAGAGGTGGATGGTGTTAACTCAGGGCAACAGATCACTTTTTCTAGAGAGTAAAAAGTACCACTGATAAAAATAGGAAAAGACAGATATAGAGAAATACACATGTGTATACTATGGTTTAGTTTTAAAATCATGTCCACATCTATTATTCCTCTATTTTTTTCTCCTTATTTCTGAAAATAAGTTCCAATTTTGCATTTTTAAAAAACACTCCATTTGTGAGATCAAGCCCCATGTTGGGCTCCTCTCTCAGCTGGGAGTCTGCTTGAGATTCTCTCTCTCCCCCTCTGCCCTTCCCCCCACTCAGTCTCTCCCTCTAAAATAAATAAGTAAATCTTTTAAAAAACACCCTTTTAATTCTCCAAAATTAGTCCTCCCACAAAGCCAGCTTCTGAGCCAAATGTTGCTGACACATTTACCACCCAAAAATGGTTAAGCTTCATGGTGCAATTAACACCAGCCTTACTTGGGAGAGAAAGGGACTTACTAGAGGCGGAAAGGGGCATTTGCTTCAGGTACAGCCAGGGCCAGGACTCCAGCCCTCTCCTGCCATGCAGCCCCTGGCTACCTGGCTTGAACCCCCAGCGTCAACGTGCCTCCAACGCCCCAACGATGCTCAAACTGGCTGCGGGTGAAAGGCCTGGAGCTCTAGGTTCTGGGACTGCCCCATCCGGTCCAAAAGCTGTGCCACTTTCCCTAGGGGCTGGTCCAGAGTGGCTGGAGAATGTGTGGGCTGCCGTGGCTTCCAGGCCGGCCCCCGCAGCTGGGCTCTCAGGATGTGTTTGGTGGCTTCACAGGCTGTGGGAGAGCCTCTTTGCTGGACGTGATCACCGGAAGGGACCATGGCGGCAAAATTAAGTCAGGCCAAATCTGGATCAACGGGCAGTCCAGCACGCCTCAGCTGGTGAGGAAGTATGTGGCCCACGTGCGCCAGCACGACCAGCTGCTCCCCAACCTGTCTGCGAGACCCTGGCTTTTGTTGCCCAGCTACGCCTGCCCAGAACCTTCTCCCAGGCTCAGCGTGACGAAAGGGTAACTACCTGACCCTGGTGACCCCAAGAAGTCATGACATCCTTCCGCAGGTCGAGTTTGAGCAGCCCAGCTCACCATCCTTCCAACCAACCCTACGCTCAGCCTTTCCCTCAGTCCACCTTTAAACCCTGCAACCCTCTGTAAGCCACCTGGGCCCTGGCCAGTTCCCTTCACGGCACAGGACAAAATGTGTGAGGAATGCTGTCTACCTGTTTTCCTGTCCTCCGTGTGGGCAGGGAGCCCAGCTGTCTTGCCCCCAGGTCGCGGCCACGTTTCCAACATGGCGCCACGCCCTGCGCGTGGGAGCCGCTCAGGACGCGCGGAAAGAATGCGGGAACAAACACCGCATGGGGCAGTGAAGGCTGGAGCGCAAACCCATTCGGAAGGGCAGGCGTTTTACGCTCCGGGACAACACCGGCGTGGCCCGGAGCCAGGCGGGCGGCCGCGCGTCTAAGCCCCGGCCCTCCTCCGCAGGTGGACGACGTGATCGCCGAGCTGCGCCTGCGCCAGTGCGCCAACACGCGCGTGGGCAACGCGTACGTGCGGGGCGTGTCGGGGAGCGAGCGGCGCAGGGTCAGCATCGGGGTGCAGCGCCTGTGGAACCGAGGTGAAGGCGCGAGGTGGGGCCGCGGCGCCCACCTGGCTGGGCCCTGGCCAGCCAGAGTGCTGCCGGCTCACCAGGCCCCTCTCTCCGCTGGGAAGGAATCCTCATTCTGGATGAACCCACCTCCGGGCTCAACAGCTTCACGGCCCACAATCTGGTGAAAACCCTGTCCCGGCTGGCCAAAGGCAACCGGTTGGTGCTCATCTCCCTGCACCAGCCTCGGTCGGACATCTTCAGGCTGTTTGATTTGGTCCTCCTGTTGACGTCCGGCAGCACCATCTACTTGGGGGCAGCCCGGCACATGGTGCAGTACTTCACAGCCATCGGCCACCCCTGTCCTCGCTACAGCAGCCCTGCCGACTTCTTTGGTGAGCTGCCAGGCAGCGCCCCCACCCACCAAGCCCCCCCAGGGCCTGGTGGAGGGATCCGGAAGGGAAACTCAGAGGCTTCAGGGGGAGCAGGACCTGGGAGGGGGGCGGACAGAGCGGGCTGTAGAACAAGTGTCCCTTTGCCAAGTATCAAATGTCAGAAACGAGGGTCTGAATAAAGCAGCTTCTGACGTAGCTACCCTTCTGTGCAGGATAGGTAAGAAGCCTTTGAGAATTCCAATGGCTAGAGGAGATAGAATCCAAGAGGGTCTGGATCAATTTCTAGAATTGTGGTCTTTATTCAGACTCTGTAGGGAAACTTAGGTTACCTAAGGTCAGGAGACCACCAGGAAATCTTAAAGCTGTGCCCTGATGCCCCCAAAGAGGCAGAGAGCCTGAAGGCACTCGGTGGTAGAGGGGGCCCCAGGGCACAGGGAGCTCAGGGCCATTTGGAGGTTTTGGTCAGTGAATCTCTAGATAGGAAAATTGTTCTGTCAGCACCAGAACTGCTTGGGGTTCTGAACTCTTAGCATATAGCCCTCGGGGGAAGGGTAAGCCAATTCCTTCATTCCTGGGGAGACAGTTGTTTTTACAGGTGCCTGACCTGAAAGCAGTTGCCTGGATCCTGAATGCTGAGGAGTGCCGTGGCTGCTGGCCAGGCCGCAGAGCTTCACCAGCACTGGGGGGAGAAGAGCGGGGGAGGCCGTAGCTGTGGCTTGTCTAATATGTCACCTGGAGCCCCAGCCTTCCTCCCAAGATGACCCAGTGTAGCAAGGGCGTCACCAATAACCATGACGACAGGGACCATGTCCTTGAGGGCAGACACTGGGCCCAAAAGCACCAAGCTGCAGAGGGTGTGCCTTGGACCCTCACAGACCTGCCAGGGTCATCTCCATCTTTACAGATGAGAAACCAAAGTCTGAAGAGTTAAACCCCTTGCACAGAACTTGTAAGGCACAGAATGGGGACTCACAGCCAGTGTATCTGGCCCCCTCCCTGACTCCTGACCCTGAGCCCACATCCTCCTCCCAGCATCCAACGTGCCTCCTTCCCGCAGGAGGACAGGCCACTTTCTCCAGCCTGCCAGCCCTTGTGCACTCACACTGTGTGAACTCACATAGAGGGCACCTGTCAACCTGGCCATGGGGAGCAATGTGCAGTAACCCCAGAGGGGGTTACCAGAAGCCAGATGTCCACAACAGACCTGAAAAAAAAACCTTTTTCTTTATATTATTATCATTTGTGGGGGAAGGGGCTCTTGCCTACCACCTACCAATCTGGGGTACAGGGCCTGGCAGTACCCAGAGAGTCTGGTGTTCTGAGCTACAGGCCTGCACACTAAGGAGACATATTGCGTTTTATAAGACTCCTCCTAGACATTATCCTGCCTTGCGACATGTCATGAAAATGGCAGGAGGGAAGAGATAGAGGTTAAGAGGAGGAATAGTGGGAGATGAGCCACCCTCCAGCCTGGAGTAAAGCTGGGCTCAGGTGGGCCCTGGTTATGACTGGGTGAGTGTGCCTTTCTGACATTGCAGCAGCCCCATGAGAGTACAGCTGGGGCTGGGGCTCCCAGATGCTCCCCACAAGTAATGTGGAGGTGGGTGCAGAACAGCCTGGAGGGCAGTGACAGCTCACCCTCCAGCCAAAACATTCTCCCCTTTTAGGCAGGCTGCTTGGGGAGCCAAATTACCTATTTACAGTGAGAACTAGAACTTCCAGGTGCCCAGACTGCCCAACCGCCTCGTGGCCAGCCCACCTTCTCTCCATGGGCAGGCACACCAGGGAGGCTTAGTCCTCATCTCAAGCTTCCTAAATGGCTTGAGTTGGAGCCAGGGCATAATTGTGCCATGATCTTTGGCTCTTTCTGATGTCCCCATAATGAGCCTGGGGGTTGGGATGGGGGCCAGGGCCCACAGGGCCTCTGGTGTTGCCCTTCCCCTGCAGCAGGCTTTCCCCTGAAGTGGATGTGGCCAGGCCCAGCAGGGTGGGAGGCCAGCCCTGGGTGTCTCTCTGTCGCTCTCTGCTCTGCTCATCACTTCATGGTCCACTCTCAGAGGGTGGGGAGCACATCCTGGAGCCCCCAAGGGCTGACCGGCATTGTGAACTGGCCTTGCATCAAGCTCCTCACCTGTGAGCAGGTACAGAGACCCAGCCACCCATGGCCCCACATCTTCTCCTTACAGTGGACTTGACTAGCATCGATAGGCGAAGCAGAGAGCAGGAAGTGGCCACCAGAGAGAAGCTCAGTCCCTTGCGGCCTTGTTTCGAGAAAAAGTTTGTGGCTTCGATGACTTTCTGTGGAGAGCAGAGGCGAGGGAGCTGGGTGAGGGCACTTACCCGGAGAGGTAAGGCAGGCCAGGGTGGCTCTGGGTGGAGAGCTCCTTGCGGAAGGCAGCCGCCCCCACACCCCATGACACACTGTGCTTCTTGACAGCCCGGCCCTTCCCCAGGACACTGACCAGCCCCCAACTCCCACGGAGCTGCCCAGCCCTGTGCAGCAGTTTACCATGCTGATCCGGTAATTATCTGCCATTTCATCCCACTACCACCAACCCTGTCCCACAAGTCTTTATTGTATCAAATTAAGCCCTTTCTATCTAAAGTGAATTTGAAGGAGAAAGCAAGAGGTAGAATCATTTTTAAAAAACCGGTATCACCAAGACCAGCACTAGCCCTCTGTGCAATACAGAACACTCCTGTCACTTTTATTCTTTAAACAATATCAAAATGTCCTTACTGGCCGGATGATTGGAGAAATTACATAGGATTGTGGTGAAAAATTCAGACGATACAGGAGAAACCCAAGTGGAGAGGGAAGGTTACCTGTCACATCAGCCCTCAGAGAAAACCAGACCCACGTGTTTGGTGTGAGTCTTTCTAGATATTCCCATGCACACAGCGTTTTAATACATAAATGAGATCATACTTTGCATATGGTTCTGTAACCATTTTTTTTTGTTTTTGGCCTCATATAGAAAAGGTCTCTACCTCTCATCTGGTTAGGTCTTCTTCGGCATTCCAATATAAAAAGCCATAATTCATTTCCCTGCTAAGTGCATATTGATGGTTCAGTTTTTTTCAGGCTTTTGCTATGGCAAGTAACGCTGTAGCAACCATCCTTGTACATACGTCTTTACATACCTGATTGGTTATTTCCTTAGGATAATGTCTTTAAGTAAAATTACACGGCGGATACGTTGACAATAAAGTAAATTATTTATTGTGTACCTAGTGTGAGACAGATGCTTTCATCAATGATCTCATTTGAGCCTCACAGTCCTTGTGAGGGGGTAGTGCTATTCCCATTTTACAGATGAGAAAAGAGAGGCTTGCTGAGATTAAATGACATTGCCATGTGACAGGGCTGGTATATGTTGTTCCCTTGGCATCTCTTTTGTTTTCCAAGTCATCAGCTTTTCAACGACTTCCGAGACCTGCCAACTCTCCTCCTCCATGGGGCAGAGGCCTGCCTGATGTCCCTGGTCATTGGGTTCCTCTATTACGGCCACGGGGCCATCAAGCTCTCCTTCATGGACACAGCCGCCCTCTTGTTCATGATTGGAGCTCTCATCCCTTTCAACGTGATCCTGGATGTCATTGCCAAATGTGAGTGGGGCTTGCTCTCTGTGACCCACACCTGAAACAGCCAGAGGACACGGCATTGGTCACCCCTCTGAGCCGGTCCAAAACCAGCCTATGTTCCTCTGAACTCCTGGGGAGAATGGGTTTGCTGAATAGTTTCACCATGATTGCAAAACAAAAGGTGATGATGGTTTTTAAAGTTCGCACATTAATATTAGTATGCAAATGAAAGCAGATTACCCAGGAGTCTTAGGCATTCCTATTATAGCAGGAATTATACTTGACAGCAATGCACAAGTCACAGAATTACAAACATCTAAATTAGGATGGTTTAACTATGCCTGCTTTTTAAAAATAGAAGACATTTAGTCAATATGACTATTTATAATTGTACTAAGAGAGACTCAAAAGCAGAAACACTGAAAATTAATGTCACTTTCATTCTCCTTTTCTCCCCCTTTTTAGGTCACTCAGAGAGGGCAATGCTTTACTATAGCCCTCTCCACAACCTCTCCACATCCTCCTCCTTCGGCAACGCTCTCTACAACTCCTTCTACCTCACCGGGGGCTTCATGATAAGCTTGGACAACCTGTGGACAGGTAAGGCCTGCTCCCCTCCCCTGGTCAAGCTTTTTGAGTCTTTCTGGGGCTGGATGAAGCCTGCTTTCACCTGGGGATGAGAACTCACCATTTAGATCCAAGTTAAGCCTAGTTTTTCTGGGAGCCAACTGTCCTGCTTGTCAAAGGAATGACTCCATGAGAGGGTGCAGATGGCACCTTCTTTTATCCCCCAGCTGACACCTGGAGGTCACCCTTGACTCTCCCCCACTCTCCACATTCACCAGTGAGTCAGGTCAGTTCTGCCTATCCCATCTTTCTGAAATGTTCCCTTGCCTGATCCCCCAGCCCTGGCCTTATTGTCGGGTCTCAGACCACCGCAATGGTCTCTGTGACCCTGGTCCTACTGCATCCCTCTCAACCCTTGCCCATGCAGAGGGCGCTTTGTAAGGTGCAAATCCATGTCACTGCTTTTTACAAGCCCTCTGGGGAGCTGCTAACTCCCTGCAGCCCCCACCTTGCTCTTCTGAAGTCCCCAGCACACTCCGCACACACATAGCTGAGCCTGTGTGGCTCTTCTCTGTAGGGCACGGTCCACCCCCGCCCCCACAGCTGCTCCCTTCTCCAGACCAGCGAGGCTGGGCTTGTTCCTTCCTCCTGCTCCGGGCACTGTGATACGCCCGTGGGGTCAGGGCACAGACTCACAAATCTCAGCTGTGCCTCCTTGAAGCTGAGCACATGCTGGGACACCTCGTAAATGACTCTCTCAAATTGTTACCTTTCCAACATGTGGTGACCCCCACAGCCACCTGGCCCCCTGTACTCAGTCCACCCCATGTCCCAAGCTGTCACTCTGGCTCTTTCGCCCTCTCCCTGCCCTCCTGCCGCCTCAGGGACCTTGCTTCCCTTGGGGCAGAGCCGCCAGGGCCCTGTGGTCAGGGGTGCTTCCCAGGGAGCAGGTGGTTAGCCTGTGTGAGTAACATGGCTCTCACTGTCTCCAGTGCCCACCTGGATTTCCAAAGTCTCCTTTCTCCGCTGGTGTTCTGAAGGGCTGATGCAGATTCAGTTTAAAGGGCACACTTAACCACATGGCCGTCGGCAACTTCACCATCCCTATCCCGGGAGACGTAGTAAGTAGCTGAGGCCTTCGACTCTAAATAGCTAACATCCGTCCGAACGTTTTCTCAGTGAGTTCACTGACGTCTGTGTCCCCAGATCCTCAGTTCCATGGGCCTGAACTCGCACCCACTCTACGCCATCTACTTCATCCTCATTGGCATCGGTGGTGGCTTCATGATCCTGTACTACGTGGCCCTGAGGTTCATCAAACAGAAATCAGATCAGGACTGGTGATTCATGCCCAGGCTCTGGCCTGCTGGTGGGGACCTGAGAAGACCCTTCAACTGCGCTCCTTTCTTTCCTCCCAAGGAGCCCCTTCCCGGGCACCAGGAGGACAGCACAGGGAGCTCAGCTACACGGGCCCTCAGCACTGCAGTGGCAGAGGCTGACCACAGGATGGCAGTAGAATAAAGACAGTAGAAAGGGATTTGTGATCCCGGGCCAGAGCTCGCCGTTCCTGGGCAAGGGAAAACTGATCTTGGGGACACCTACAATGTTGCTAATTGATTTCCTTTTCATATGTATTTATATAGGCCACTCAGTGCAGGATGGGAGCAAGTTAGGTATGAATTGAATAGGCTATGCAAGAGCTGGATCCAGAGGAAACAACAGCATTGCCTAGTGAAGTGTTTGGCCTCATCTTCGGGGCTCCCCAAACTGTGTTAAGGCACTCTCGATACAGAAAATGATCTAAGACATACCGGTGAGATGTCATCCTTTCTTTTTGTGTGGGATCACGGGCTCCAAAAGCCAAACGGAAGAATTCAAAAGTTATTGAACATCTACTGTATACCAGGTAGAGTTCAAAACGCTTTATTTATGTGGATGACCATATACAGTTCTCAGCCCTTTGAGGTGGGTGGTATCCCATTTTATAGATGAGGAAACTGAGGTAAAAATTCACTTTGCTAATAAGTAAGGTCACATGGCTACCATGTGGTGGAGTCACGTGTGGGGGTCAGAAAGCTTTGGAAGCCTTAGGGGCTGGAGGGCAAAAGGCAAGTCCTGAGCCACTGTACGGCTTGGAATTCCAGGAAGATGTGGTGCTGGAGGCTGTGCCCGCTCAGCCGGGCCTCTTAGACTTGCATCCCACTGGCCCTGGCTGGCTCTGAGGACCAGCCTCGAATCTTTCACAGTGGCCACGGTATGGGACAGATCGTGCCCAGGTTGCGTGCTTTGTTGCCTGAGCATTGAGGACCATCTGACCCACAACTGGTACACAGAGGGGAGCAGATTGTTCCCAAAGGAAACGCCGGCGTCTGGGACCAAAAAAGGAGGAAGGTAAGTATTTGGGAAGCAAACAGTAAACACTCACCCCAGGTTCCCTAGACTATTACTATCACTGCTCCGGGCAAGCAGCATGGACCTTACCTGGGAGCTGGTTAGACAGGCAGAATCTCACACTCCACCCAGACCAACTGAATCTGAATCTGCATTTTTAAAAGATCCCCAGGTGATTTGTGTACCTGAGTTTGAGAAGCAGTACTCTAGCACACTGCCCTTTTACAGTACACCAGGAAACTCAGGGTCTTTACACTGCTACATTATACCACGGCATATTTTGACATCGTTACATTGCCACCATCCAATGGGCAGGCCCAATTCAAGAGTCACTAGTTGTTCGGACAAGGACCTTCATGGCAAAAGGATCAAGCAGATCTAGTTGTCAGTTCTCTTTGGGCTCCTTCAGTTTAGAACAGTTCCTCAACTTTCCTTGACTTTTGTGACCTTGACACTTGAAGATTCTGCAGAATAGCTCTCAGTTTGAGTTTGGCATATTTTCATGATGAAATCCAGATCATGAATTTAATGGGATATCACAGCGATTTCCTTTGGCAGAGATGTTGCAGAAGTGACACGCCCTTCTCCTTGCATCCTTTTGGTGGTAAAGATTGCAGTTTGTCCTGTACTGAAGTTGTTCACTTGATCACAGGGGTGTCTGCCAGGCCTCTCCACAGCCAGGTCCCTTGTTTGGTAATTCATAAGCATTTTGTAGGTAGGTACTTTGAAACTATGTAAGTTACCTGTTGCTCATTAAACTTTCCATTTATGCATTTTTCAGTTTATATCAATATAAAATTGTAGTTTCCTATTTTAGTCAATGGGTTTTGATCCCTTATTATCATTATTAATTTTTATGTTCAAATCATCCCTGATTTGTCCCTGGGAGCCCATTCAAGTGGGCTTCTGCATCCTTTTGATCTGTCCCCATTGTTGAGTGAACACTTTCTTTCACAAAGTGTTTCAGGCTCATCTTGTACTTTTCCACCCCCAGTCCTTAGACCCAGTGCTTAGAAAGCAGACATTTCTCTAAAAAATCTTGATTCCTTTTAGTGGAAAATGGTATCTAAAAGCCAAGATCTGAGTGGTAAGTCTGTCCATTGCTGCTGGGGCATCACTGCCCCCAGGCCCTCTCAGGAGGCAAAGTTGGGAATGCATACATGTGTACACAGGTCTGTATATGTGTGTGTGCACACATATACACACCTGCCTGTACACTAATACATCCAGTTCCCAAATTCCAGCACACCATAGAGCTGATGCTAATATTCTCCTTTTCTGTGTTTGTAACTCCCTTTTCCAATTGCGAGAAACCTGGATTCCACTGGCCTTCATAGTTTCATTCATTTGGTTAATCCCCTGTATGTAACCAATCTCCCATCTACACCACATTTTTTCCGGTGTGTAGATACCCTCCTCACCCTGCTGGGGCTGTATCTCCCCCATCAAGCTGTCCCCTAGTCTGCACAGATGCCGTCCTCATCCTATTCCAGCCCACCCCGGCTCCTCATCCCACACCCACACTGCGGTCACCTAAAGGCTTTAGGCCTGAAGGGAGAAAGAAGGAGGAAGAGGACATTGGGCTTTTTCATGAACTCCCCAGTGATTCCAACGTGCAATGAGGGCGGACAGCCACTGGGGTATATCATCTGACTGAGTTATGGCCACTCAGTTTACAAGGGGTCTTAATTGACTCAGTGGGCTCTGGTGTGCAGGGCTGTCGGGGAAAGGGGCAAAGTGCCAAGGCCGGAGAATGGGAGAAACTCCAGCAGCGGCCATTTCTTTTTTTGCTGGAGCATCCTGGTTCTCCACCCTGGTTGCCCACCCTGGAGCTTTAACAAATAACCACTGTGGAGATTCTGATTTCATGGGTCTGTTTTTTGAAAGAAACAAAACCAAATGAACAAACTGCTCCCCAGGGTGTGCAGGTGGTCTACTCAGCCCCTCCCTGCCCTGAAAGGGGGAGAGGTCTGCCTGTGAGTAATTTTCAAAAGCAGGGGTCACAAACTCTACCTGTTAAGGGTCAGATAGTATTTCAGGCTTTGAGGGCCACTCAATTCTGTTGCAGTGTTGAAAGCCACCACAGACAATTCTAAAGTACGGGAAATGTGGTTGTGTCCCGGTGAGACATTACTTAGAAACACAGCGCTCTGGATTTGTCCCAAGGCTGTAGGCTTTGCACACCCTTGACCAGAAGGCAAAAGTTTTGAAGTTTGCATTTTAAGCCCTCCAATTTCTTATGCTATTGACAGGGAAATTTTAATTAAGCAGAAAGTAATTACCTATACTGACTCAATTTTTTTTTTTTTTTTTAAAGTAGGCCCCATACCTAGTGTGGAGCCCAACACAGGGCTTGAACTCACAACCCCGAGATCAAGACCTGAGCTGAGACCAAGAGTCGGATGCTTAACTGCCCGAACCACCCAGGCGCCCGACTCAATATTTCTGATGTGATTTCGTTTTTTTCCTGCTCTTGTTCCTATAAAATTGATGTAAGGCCTAATCTTGCCCTGGGTCAAGCTCATCTCACCAGTCAGGTTCACAGAGAGAGATCTTGTGCTTGCTGTTTTCTTTCTCCCACTCGACTTGTTTTGATTCCAGATCAAACAGCTAGCAGCAGGGATATTTAAGTGGACACCAAATCCAAGTGCTAACCGCAGACCTGGTAGATGCAGGGGCTCTACCGAGACTCAAGTACGACTCAGCGGAGGCCCCTTCCCTCAGGCCAGCCCCAGGCGGGCAGAGCCCAGCCCATTTTCTGCGGCACATGTGGTTGTTAGCAGCTAACAATCAAAACAGTATTTTAAGCAGTGGGTTGAGATTTTTTAACACACACCAACTCAGAGGCCAGATAACACTTCTCAGCTTTCCACGTCATAGTGCCCATGTTTCTTGTCTTTTTGTAAAGTTGGAGCTACTCATTGTTTCCCCAAACTGCTAAAAAGCCCCACTGCCCCGTGTTAAAAATGAAGCTCTTTATTTTTGTTGATCCCCCTCTTGTACTGAAGTGGCTTCCATTACACATTTGAAAGCCCTCCTCCTCCTGGCAGTAAACTTGAACATGTTTTCCATGTGGGAACACGGGTTTTAAATGACTTCTTGGGCCTCGACTCCCACTATCCTGGCTCTGAGCTACAAAGTGGCATCTTTGATCTCTTAGGAAGACAGGTGTGTGTGTGAGGAAACCCTCCAGTGCATGCAAGGCACACATCTCAGAAAGAGCATGGCTTGTAAAGTGGGACCAGGTGCTGTGCTCATTGTTCATTCGACGACGCTTTACTGGGTGCCAAGCAGGGCCAGGTTCTGTTCTAACCGGTGTAGAGCTCACTGTCTGGGGGAGGAAACGACATAAGCAAGTAAATAATGATGGTTTCAGTAAGTGCATGCCTGGGGCAGGGTTGGTGAAGATACTACTTTCAAGAGATCTCTGTAAGCTCAGATCCCGACGGCCAGCCATTGTCCAAACAAATGTGCAGGGGCGCTAAGTATGAAGTCAGTTAAATGTTTTTGTTCTGCCTGAACCGGATGATGTTTCTTTTCTTCTGATGGTTCTTTTCTTCGTGCAAAGAAGAAAAAGATAAGTGCTTATTTTGAATTTGCAAATGCAGCCATTTCCTTTATTTGTACTAAGGCTGCATAATGTGGGCTTTGTAAAGTCCGTGCGTCTGAAAGCACTATACATTCCTAATGGAAACAGCAAAGTGATAAATTACCATGATTGTGTACCCCCTGCAGCTATTAGCTCGACCATACTTCAGGAATGTTGCTTTCACTTTATAGAAACTCTACAAATATTGGTTTGTCAGAAAGACAAATATTAAATGAAAATTGTGCTCAAACACATGAGAAAACGTATGCAGAGCACACACACTGCAGACTAGAGGAATAAATTGTACAGGGAAGAACAATTTGCAATATAAAGCTTGCTTAATAATTTACCGGAATCCACAAACTTGGCATTTATGCCAGGCACTGGGTATTTGACTAAATGGAAGAAAATAACCTTACAATGTAAAGCTGTTGGGACTGGGAACATTTGTTTTAATGTGAAAGCTTGCTTTCTTAAAAATAGAAATATCCCAACAGTTTAGAGGTTCTAATTTAACTTTTAACTGGATTTCTAACTGAATTTAAAATTTAACTGGATTGTTTTTGGGAAGTCGGAGTCCTAGCCATGTGATAAATCACCGTGATTCTGATCACTGTGGGTAAATTAACTTCTGTAAGCCCGGATGTTTCTCATCGTGAATGTGACGGAAGAGGGGCGCCCGATGCACAGTACCAGGTGCTCATGGTTAGCTCCGCAGAACACACGGACCAGACAACAGTACATGGGGTGCCTAAGGCCAGGACTATGCAAGGTCTGGGCTTACAGACGTGACACACAGAACCGGGACCTGGGGAGTTCACAAGCTGCATGGTACGTGCTCTTTTAAGTGGCTGCAGGAGCCCTGGAGAGACAATAGGCTAGGTGGGGAGAAGGACCAAGAAGCCACAGAGAGGAGCCCCCCAAGGTTGGCCACAGCAAGCTCACCCGAGGAAGGAACAGGGGGGTAAGGCAAGGGGCTAAGTGTGCCCGGGACCACTCTGTGCAGCTGTGGAATGCTCCTTCTGACACTTAACGCAGATAAAACCGCCTTTGCTTTCAGTGTCCATTTACCATATATCCACCTCTCCTAATTAATTCTCGCCAACTTTGTACCTCAGGGATCTCAAATATCTGCTTGTCCTTACAATAGAGAAGCCGTGATATTGTTGGTTCTCTACACACAAACCGTACACCATTTAGCAAAGAAATTCTGGCCGCAATAGAAGCTACCACACAGTTTTTAATTTAAAATTTTAAGACTAAAGTCCTTGAAATGATAAAAGTGATTATGCAAAAATTTGATAAGATTAAAAATGAAGAAGCTCACAGGTTTTTGGAGTATAATTTATTCAAAGCATTTCACATTAAAATTGTATTAAATTCATGAACATACAATTACATGTAAAACATGATACTTTCCAAAAGTTTACAATGACATTTACTTTTTTAGAGTTAGCTGTTTGCTTATAATTTTAGTCTAAAACGTATTATTGTGTGCTATAATTGTGTTTGCTGTCTATTTCTATTTGTTTCAATTTTGCTATTAGATATTTAGAAAGCATTTCTTAGCCCACATAAAATACACAATTACATTTTTAATATTTAAATTCAAAAGGGGAAGCCAGTGGTGCTGTTTAGAATGCTAGATGAGGGATTTGTACCTATTTCCTCGGCACTACACCTGGCATTTTACCAGCGTCAATATACAAGGCTGGCTTGGAGTCACTTCATGCAAATAAGATTATACTCTGTCTCTGGCCCAGACAAAACTGGGAAGTCCAGGGTATGTCCCAAGGTTATGCCTCTTCTGAGAGACCTATTTCAATGAACATCAATAAAGTGTTGCTCCAATAACTTATGGTTAGCATAACTGCAAAAAATAGGGCCTGCTTCAGTGCAATCACTAACAGGCGTGAGGCTCATGGCCAAGCAGACAATACAGGTACATACACAACAGCTCCAGGTCCTGCCCCTGGGGAGCAAACAAAGGAGAGCTTCATTAAGTCCTCTAGGCTGGGACCTGGCATTGGCCGAGGCCTCTGAACCCAGAGGTCTAACTCCACAAAACAGAGATGAAGGAAAGCACGGCCAATCCCATGATGACGTTTACTTCTTGGCTTCCCTCCATCAACGCACCCCTCCCTTTCGTGTCATCTGCAGGCTCTAGATGAAGGATGGCTGGGTCCACAACTCAGGTCAGCAGCACAACCAGCATGAGGCCAGCTTACTTCCTACAAGGCAAGGTCTCCCCTCATGTAAATAGTGGGAACCACTGATTTCAAATGGATAAGGATAAACCTCAAATAAAACATTTTCAACGTTTTGGGTAATTAATTACCTAATCCCCAAATAGGTCACTGTTGCATATTAAGACACTTTTGTAATGGTAAAGTGTTTCACAACCCAGCCTGAATTCTTCTACAGTAACAACGGATAATATAGATATTAATAGGCATGAAAGCCAATTTGGGGATAACTTTGATAACACTGAATACAAACGACAATTTCCTTCATATATACAATCACACATTCAAAGGATGAGTATGAAGTAACAAAAGCCTAGGGTAGGGGGTACTGGTGCTGGCAAACCTGAAACCAAGACAAGAGGTAATGCACTGCTCTCCGCTTCATGATCCAAGTCACAGCTAGGACTCAGTCTTAGAGACATCTATGAACGGAGCCTCTCAGAAGCCTCCGTGGTAGGAGGGAAAGCATGGCAGGGAGCAGCCAGGCATTGGCAAATAGCACCCTGACCGAGGGCAAGGAAAACGAGTGCTAGATGTGATGACTTACAACATGCCTACCGGTGACAGCAATTTACGAAACTGGAAAATAATGCAGGGTTTCACACATGAAGAGAATTCCTATCATAGAATAGTAAAGCCTTAGGAAGCTCACTGAGCATCATTTTGTCTAGCTCCAAAATTTGCAGATACACAGTATTAACCAGCAAGTCTTAAATAAAGGAATAACATTTTCATGAAAATAATGAACAAAACAGAACAGGGGACCTGAAGAGTCACTGGGAGAAGAACCCTGAAAACTTACAGCTTCAAACATCAGAAGCAGTCGAAAAAAATGCTGTAGAATTTATGTTGTCGGCAAAACCCCCAAAAGTCTAGTGACTAAGTGCACAGTTACTGTCAATAAAGTGTTGAAAATATATACATTATGAATAAAAAAAAATACACAAAGTAACTTTTCATTTATTTATTCTGTACTCTCAAATATATTTAAAAAATAACATTTTAGACATTGAATCACAAATACACACAAAATATAGTGCCTGCTTGCTTCACAAAGGGTTTTCCCTTGATTCCTTTAACTGCTTTGCATAAAATTCGAAGCTTTCCTGTTAAGGAGACAAAGGGAGGGAAGTTACAGGTATAGTCACTTGCGAGAACGCGTGGCACAAAACTCAAAAGTCATACAAAACAAAACAAAACCCTCAAAAGGCATAAAGTGCTGCAAACTGATAGCAAAGACCGCTGGGCCCATGGCAAGTGCTGTCCCCTCAAGCCTCAGCACTCCTTTCTGTTCATGAAGTCAATTAGCTGAAGGGCCTCGAGTCTAGAGTTAAAGCTGCATCGAGAGCCTCCGCTGTGTGTGCGCATTGCATGTGCGTGTGCGTGCAGGTAGTCACACCTGGCTACGGAAGGTTCAAAAAAAAACATGGTGTACTGACTGGCAGCTTAATGACACAATAAAAAGGAATTTTGCATGTATGATTTCTCTTATTAAAATAGAACAAAACAAATGAAATTTCCTGGGCAACTGATTAAAAATGGGCAGAGGACCTGAAGAGACATTTTTCCGAAGAAGACATCCAGATGGCAAAGAGACCCATGAAAAGATGCTCAACACCACTCATCACCACAGAAATGCAAATCAAAACCACAACGAGGTAGCACCTCATACCTGTCAGAATGGCTAGGATACAAAAGACAAGAAATAACAAGTGCTGGTGAGGATGTGGAGAAAAGGGGACCCCCCTGCACTGTTGGTGGGAATGTAAAGTGGTGCAGCCACTGTGCAAACAGTATGGAGGTTCCTCAAAAAACTAAAAAATGGAAATACCATATGATCCAGTAAGTCCACTACTGGATATTCACCAAAAGAAAACAAAAACACCAATTTGAAAAGATATGCACCCCCATGTTCACCGCAGTATTATTTACAGTAGCCAAGACATGGAGACAACTTAAGTGTGCATCAAGGGATGAATGGATAAAGAAAACGTGATACGTACATATATATATATGATACACACACGGAAGATTATTCAGCCATAAAAAGGAATAAAATCTTGCCATCTGCGACAACATGGATAGACCCTGAGAGCTTTCAGCTAAATGGAATAAATCACAAAGAAAAGACAAATACCATATAACCTCACTTATATGTGGAAAAATACCATATAACCTCACTTATGTGGAATCTAAAAAACAAAACAAAAATCAAAAACCAAAAAGCAAACAAAAAGCCCCAAGCTCATGGTGTACAGAACAGACTGGTGGTTGCCTCCGGTGGGCAAAAGGGATGAAGGGAGACAAAAGGTACAAATTTCCAGTTATAAAATGAGTACGTCATAGGGATGGAATGTCCAGCATGGTGACTCTAGTCCATAATACGGTATTGCATATGGGAAAGTAGCTAGGAGAGTGGATCTTGAACGTTCTCATCACAAGAAAAAAATGTGAAACTATGTGTGGTGATGGATGTTAATGGATTTACTGTGGTGATCCTTTTGCCATATACACAAATATGGAATCACTACGTTGCACACCTGAAGCTATTATAAGGTTATGTCAATTCTACCTAAATTAAAAACAAACAAAAAAAACCTTCCTAGACGAAGAAATAAAAACCAACGTGCTTAAAATGCACAAGTAGGGCGCCTGGGTGGCTCAGTTGGTTAAGCGACTGCCTTCGGCTCAGGTCATGATCCTGGAGTCCCGGGATCGAGTCCCGCATTGGGCTCCCTGCTCAGCAGGGAGTCTGCTTCTCCCTCTGACCCTCCTCCCTCTCATGCTCTCTGTCTCTCATTCTCTCTGTCTCAAATAAATAAATAAAATCTTAAAAAAAAATAAAATGAACAAGTAATTCACAGGGAGACAATGAGCATAGCTATTGAAATACAGGCCATTAAATCCTATTTCAAGTTGAAATGATGAGAGAACTGCCCCAAGGACATTTGATAAATCCATACCTATAGCTGAAGGTCCGAGACTGACTTTGTATTTCAAACCTCAGTCCCATGGGGCCATGTTCTCCCACAGCCAAACCCGCAGCCCGACTGCTCAGTTCCGGAAGCCCTCCTCTGAGGCCTCTTCACAGAGATCTAATCCTTATGTAATTAAGTATTCAACTTATTTTTTTTTTTTTACACATTAATATGAAGCATACATAAATCTGTAGAGGTATCCCCCCCCCCCCATTAAGAAATACTCACAGGGGGTTCGGTGAAGGGGACAGGCTCTCCAGCATTCTTCAGCAAAACTGCATAACGCTTTAGAAACAGATCATTCAATTTTATATTCCTTGCAGTCAGATATTCATATAGTGCTTTAGCAGATACAGCATCCTTGTCTAAGACTGGAAAAAAGATATTAATCACAGATAAAGACAACCTACCTTCCTCTTTTCCCAAGAACACTTAGCCATTCAGGGACTCCTGAATCCCTTTATTCCAAGACAAACAAATACTTAACTACTTTGAGCAAAAAAACCACATCCAGAGTCTACCAGCTCCCTCATTCCTCCCCACACCTCTCATTCAGCATTAGTCAGGATGAAAGAGAAGGAAGATGACAAAAAAAGCTACTAAAGGACCCATGATAGTTAAAAGTGACCACAAACCAAAGTCCTCAACCATGGAGTAAACACACACCACTCAACCCTCTTCTGCTTAAAACCACACTTGAAATCAAGCTAATTCAAGGACTGTTGTGAGGGTCACGTAAATTATGTGGAAATCGAGACCTACATCAAGATAGAGATCATCAGCTAAACAACACCAAAAAGACTGGCAATACATTCTACTGTAAAAGAAGCAAATATGAGGAATATATTTGGCTACAGTAACAAAAAATAGTCTAAATACATTATCTGCATAAAAGAACTATACATATCTACCTAACAATAACAAGTTACACTAATATTTAGTTCACTTAAATGGCTGACGAAGTAGCCTAGGGGCTAAGTTTAGCTGGCTCTCTGGTTGTGGCTGCCGTGTAGGAATTTCACTTCCAGGTTTACTGTTGAGATTACAAGGGCTTTACTAGCAATTACTGGTGGTAGTTCAACTCTTTAATTTTGCATTAGACTGTCACCATCTAAGCACCTAACAATCCCCTACCCTACAACAGTGCTGCAGAACCGATCCCAACTCCAGCAGCACCAGGGCAGATGGAAGAAGTCAATCCAAGGATCACTCCAAGGATCCAAGGATCTCCCAAAAGGGAGCGAGCATGGATGACTCATCAGTTCTCACGGGACTTGAACAGATCTTTGCAGTTTGGGTGAAGTCAATTTCCTGTCTATAGGAAAACTGATCCCTGCAGGGGCCAAAACCTTTCTCTGCCACTATCAAAGGCTGAGCTCAAGCTCTACCATCTTCCAGGAAGCTACTCAGAAACCTCTTCCATCTTGCCTTTCACTACCTTCCTGGTCTCCCTGTTCCTCCCCGTCCCAATTCCCAAGTGGGATTACACAGTTTAGTAGCAGTTTTATTCTATTTTGACACTATTTCGTGGTACTTATTACTTAGCATCTCCCAAACCCCCTAATTGAACTTTGAGAAGTTTATGATTATTGCCTCTATTTTGAAATATATCACGGTCCCCTCGTAAGGGTGGAAAACGGAGAACCAAGTTACTAATTCTGATTGCAGTTTGTTGTCCGAAAACAATAAAATCAACAAAGCAATTATTTACCCCTTGCCTCACGTGAGCAAATCAGTGGGTGGCAGATGGATAGGTGATCATAACTAGGAAATGAAATGCTTACATTTACCTTGATTACTGAGAAAACTTTAGCCTGGTTCCCTTTCATATGTGATGAGCTGGCAATCGGGGAACAAACTGCTTAAATAAGACTGCAATTTCAACTGTGATTTAAAGTAAAATTTTGGGGCCCACCTTTTAATTAAGGGGTCTGTTAGTTCAAAAATGTAGGCAGGTGGGGAGGGTACTGAAGAAGCAAGAAGGCAAGTCACGTAACAGTCTCAAACATGTACCCATTTCATGTTATGTTTCAGGTGGCCTTGGGGAGACTGGATTGCTTCCCAGGATATATATGCCCAAGTATATATACTTCCAAGTCTTTCCGGGAGCCTGGGGTCCTATTCAACGTAGCTGGGCCCCGATGAAGATGCTCAGTGAGACTTTTTTATGTTAAAAGTTATATGAATAAGTACATATTTTTCTTAAATACAGTTTTAAAACATTTTCTAAAACTAAATCAGTTATTCATATCATAGTTACCTAATATTTAGGATTACTGTCTTTCAGTTGAAGACTTAGTTGACTATACTACAAATATCTACATCACCTAAATAACAAAGTCAGATTAAACTTATTACCATAGCTTTTCATGACCGAAGTGTATGCTTCTTCCTTTTCAATTAATTCAGGAATCAATTCTAACAAAGATTTCAGAGTTGATGCCTAGGAAATTAAATATACGAAATGTTACCACAACTTGAAAGAAAAGTGAAGTAAAACACTGATTTATGGATATTATATCAGGAAATTTTCACAACAATTAACAACACAACTGTCTATTGAATTTAATAAACTTTTTTCCCTTCTGTGTATCTTGGTATTTATTGTCCATTTAATAATTTACAGCCAAAACAAACAAGCTTCTTTCAAAAATTAATGAAATTCCATTCACACTTCTATGAATATTTTCCTAAAATATCATGAAGACTGCTTCTTTTGTCAGTTGGTAGCCTTACCAAGAAGTTATGAGATCCCAAAGAGTAGAAAGAGGTAATAATTGTATCTTCAAGTGCCAAGATTTTTAAATAAAATGTGAAGAATTCAAACATTCCAGAAGTGTTCCCTGCTTTGTATATAAAAAGAGGATTTCCAGATCTCACTGGAATGTTTACTTGATTACTTTCAGAGGTTATCTGGACACACCTATTGGTTTAGTTCCTGTAGTGAATACAGACCTGCCACACCCTAGTGATAACCAAAAACATTCCGATACTGCTGGGTAAATCAAGGAAGGATTTTATATACCTTTATGCCATGTTCCCATCTCACAAAAGAAACTACATCTGGCTTACTTATTCTGCCAAACAGCTAGACGCTGTAACTGGAGTTTTTTAAAAATCCTAATTCACTTTTTACACATTTACTCAATCTATATAACGGGACCTACATCCTGTCAGGACTTCCTACAATTTAAAGTCTCCTGGGAGGAATGTTCTCAGCAGATATATTACTGTACACTTCCTGTCCATCTTCCGAGCAAGGCAGTACATTACTTGGCATATGGGCATGGACCCATATGTACAGTGACAAGCACTTTCTAGATTTCTTACATTTTTTAATCACAAATTTAAAAAACAGTCTCTTTGAAAAGCTGTTTGCTGTAAATAAATCTGAGTCAGAGATAAAAAGTGCAATTAGGTAAATTAAAAAAAAAAAAGACAAAAAGCAGTGTGTTAGTGTGGGGGAAATTAAGGAGAACGAGACCTCTCAGACTGGAAACCTAAATGTTTTGCATAAACTAAACATTACAATTGGCACTCAGTTTGAAACTTTATATGTGCCCAAATAAACTAAGAATGGGGTTTGTGGTACTCAATAGGTAAAATCAGATCTACAAAAAGTTTTTGGAAATATGTTTTATTCTTTTTTTTTTAAAGATTTTATTTATTTATTCATAAGAGAGAGAGAGAGAGGCAGAGGGGGAAAAAGGCTCCCCACTGAGCAGGGAGCCCAATGTGGAACCCGATCCCAGGACCCTGGGATCATGACCTGTGCCAAAGGCAGAAGCTTAACCATCTGAGCCACCCAGGTGCCCTTTTTTTTTTTTTTTTAACATCAAAAATAGGACTTGGTTCTGGTTTTACACATACACACACATAGCTTTTAGTGTAAATAAGGTAACTATACAAATAGAGAACATGAATTTGTGGCACATGCCAGTTTTAAAGCCAAGTGGCCCATCTACCTGACGGCTTGGACCTGAGAAATGGCCAGAAGTAGCCACCAGCATGGACAGACACTCTGCAGTGGGACATGTCCCTCCGCAGTGCTTCCCCACTGTTAAATGGACCAAATGACCTAAGCAACAGGATTTTTATCTTCCATTTTTAAGGACCCTTTCTTTCTTTCTTTTTTTTTTTAAAGTAATCTCTACACCCAATTTGGGGTTCGAACTCACAACTCCGAGATCAAGGGTCGCATGCTCTACCCACTGAACCAGCCAAGTGCCCCTGTAAGGGGCCCTTTCTTAGGGCTCTTCTCACACAACTACATGAAGGGGGAATTCACTGTGTGAACTTCTTTTGCATTTCCAGTACAAGAATGGAGCCAGAACTGACTCTGTATCAACATCTAAAAAAGTAAACAAGTAGAGACAAGCAAAATCTTCAGTCTCTATAGTGTTTTTAGGTAAGGTACTGAACCAAAGCTCTTAACGTGAAACTCGGTACCCTGAACAAGCCTGGCTTCTAGCATCCCTGACCTGTCAGCAAGTCAAGCACAGTACCTTTCCTGGTCTCTGAGAGCTCCTGATACAGAACACCAAGAAGATTGAAGTTTGTTCAGCAATCGCGCCACATCTCTAAAAATTGAAACATCATTCAGTAAATGAAGGTTTTTGATAAACAAGTAGACCAAGGTGAGTATTTCCAATTAACAAAGTTCACAATAATACAGTAATGTATCATTACCAATGGGAAGGCCTAATCGTCAACCCATTTTTGTACGGTAAGAAAACAGAAAACAAATGGGAGCTACGCTGAGCTCTCGGGACTATGTCGCCCTTGGCACTGCAAGTATAAAGTTTGTTTAAACAGAAAAAGGAAAAATTAAACTAATGCTTCAACAACCACAGAATAAGGTTTAGGACTGCAAAGAAAGAGGAAAAAAAGAAGCACTATTCCTCTCCAATTATTCTGCCAAGCATTCACAAGTGAGCTAGGGATCATAAGGTTAATTATACATTTAATAAGGTGTCAGGGAGATAACTGCTCGTTTCTTTATAAAAATTAAAATGTACAAAGCAAGTTCTCTTTAAAGTATAATTACCTACACTTATGCATACAAAAGGACTGATTTCAATCTCTCTATTTTATAAAAGGCTTTCATTGCAACAGACAGCCAGCGCTTGAGAAAGAGACAAAAGTTAAACTCAAAAAAAAAAAAAAAAGAAAGTTTATATGACAGACCAGATAAATCAAGTGTCTATCCAATCTTAGATGCTACAGTGAAATCAAATATGGCAAGACAATATTTTAGTTTACACTCATCACAGATGTCATTCTTTTAAGTTTCGCAAAGCACACTGCTCTTTCAAAGCTTTAAAACACTGTCAATGCTAAAACGAATAGTACAAAAAGAACTTTTGGGGACACACAGAGAACATTTACATTATAAACTGATGTTTTCGACATCTGTGAATAAAGTATTCTTCGCTGCAGCAAGAATAATCTTTTGCTGTTTGACAAGCAGGTAAAGGATGGGTAAAGGGTTTCTCGTCGGAAGCCTCCGTCTACTGAAGGGATGACAACGAAAAGACCGTGGGGGCTACATCAACACACAGCTGTCACCAGGAGCGCGACAGGCCGCTGTGTGAGTGCGGCTCCGAGGGCCCAGGCAGCACCCCGCCGCCTCCCAGCTGAGGCTGCTGTCAGCGTGCACTCCAGCAAGCGCCCGGATGGTGATGGCTCGGGACATGCTGGCAGATGAAAGAGCAAGTGCCACTTTCTGAAGAACCATCAAAATAGTGTGTTAAAGATGTATAATCAGAGACGCACATCCCCCTGGTAGGTACACTGAGTTATGTACACACCAGGATAAAGCCTCAGAGTTTATTCCTTTCAGATGGAACTTTTAACATTAAAGGCAGCAAGGGAAGACAATGAAAAGCTTCCTGGAATCCCTGAGATAGACTGCCTTTTCTGTTACAAAAAAAAAAGGGGGGGGGAAGGAATCAAACCAAACCAGATAAGAACATTCCCATTTAGCTGGAGTTTCTCTCTGTCCAGGAACAGAAAGTAAAAAAGCCGCAGAGGCAAGTGCCAATTTCCACCTTTTACAAAACCGTTCACACAGAGATTTCTCAAAACTCCCTTTAAAAATGGCTTGGGTTCTGCCAACCAAATGAACCTGAAGGATCCGAACGAACGAGAGCTCCGGCACAGGGGTGCGGTTTCACCTTCCCTATCTACCACTTAACATGTTTCACAGCTCATAAAAACGGAACTGAACATAATACTATTTACTATCAGAAATTGGTCCCGGGCCTCAATTTGACACAGGGAGTCTACACAAACACAGCCGTTGGCGGGATCACGGTGACTGTTTGACTGCCACCTGCTGGGAAGGGCTCCCCAGCGGCGCCTGTTTGTGTACATTGCCAGTGGCAGCTCGGATCACCCGCCGTTCTGTCGGCACTTGGCACAGCTTTATACTTAGTGCTGTTAAAATGGCATGAATGCAGTTGTCTCCTTCCCCGAAGATTGCTAATTTAACTGAGAGTGCGGGCCACAGAGACCTGCATTTGTCATCTAATGTGTCTGTGACACACAAGTGAATAGAAAGCAAATTCAACTCTTAATAAACCTTGACTAAGGCACTGAGAATGAGTACTCAAGTGAGAAGCTGTACTTGAAAAGCAAACATTTCCTACTTTTTGTTTGCAAACTGTGTTGCCATGGTGATGCAGAGTCTTTAGCGCTAGAGAAATTAAAGTAGGAAATCAAAGGAGTGGTTTTGCATTACCTATCTGCACAGAAACATTTGTCTTTAAATCAGTCAGCAAAACACGTCTGCCCTCACTCCCCTTTAAACCTAAGGGGTTCGGCATTTCTAGCATGGACTGGCATCTTTAAAACCAGCAGCCTCCAACTTACAATCCAGTCCGTGTCACGGGACCTTGATTCACACTGAACGTACATGTTCTAGCAGCACCATGCTCCATTGCCGGCAGCCTACCCCACACCTAGGTCTGGTAATTTCTCAATTTACTTCTCACAAGCCCCAAGCCCCACTGCTCCAGGTGTGGTGAGTCATTACCTGTAGGAGAGCTCTGGCATCATCCACCTTGCCTGAATCCAGAAGCTGAAGGAAAAGATCAGTGACAGGTTTGTAAACTGCAAACTGATTGGCCAGTCTCTCTGCCATGATGCTTACTGAAAAAGTAACAGGTAAGAGAAAGCTTTTGTTTAAACAGTGGTATAACTCATCCACAAAAGACATCTGGTCCAGGCTGACCAGAGAGAAAATGTGCTTCTGTGTTCTTTAGCAAGAACAGCTCACTTACTCTTTTCAACGGCTGCTTCCAATTGCTCCTCTATTACTTTTCTGAATAAGTATGCCAAGCCAAAATACTGGGGTTCCACAGTTTGATTCTCCGAAGTAAGCATATTTTCAATGTTTTCTATTGCAACATCTATGTTATTGCTGTAAGACAAAGCAAAATAAATTGTAAAAAAAAAAAAAAGTCTTGCTTTTGTATTAATATGGCAGGCAGTTTTAGTATGAGAACTTACTTTGGGACTCACACATACAAATACTTCAGGAAAAAAAGGAAATATGAATACCACTAACCCGGATAAAAACCACTATGCAAATTGAACTTAATCACATGGAGGTGGCAAAGGCAATCACTAGGTAGTTCATGCTACAATAACTGAAGTAGTTGCTTATTGTAAAACACTGCTCTGGAGACAAGATCGAACACATATATAGAAGAATCAATGACAGTAACTTAAGAAAGCAGTTTAGCTTAAATATCTGATTTGATTTTGCAGCTCTTGGGGTATAAAATGAAAACTTATTTTAAGTGCTATAACTTTGGCTTTATGATCTACAACTACTCCCTACTGCATGAGGTGAAGATCTTGCATCATACCTCAGGATTCTTAAAGAATCTCATGAGGTCTTCAAAGGTCTACTTTTTTTTTAAAGATTTTATTTATTAGAGAGAGAGAGAGAGAGAGTGAGAGCAGGAACACAAGCAGGGGGAGTGGGAGAGGGAGAAGCAGGCTTCCCGTGGAGCAGGGAGCCCGACGTGGGGCTCGATCCCAGGACTCTCGGATCATGACCTGAGCTGAAGGCAGACGCTTAATGACTGAGCCACCCAGGCGCCCCCAAAGGTCTACTTTCGTGTCTTTCAACCACGGTCACATCAATTTGTTTTTGTCGGGTATCACACACATTTGAAAAATAATCAGTTTATACTAAAATTCTTAGAAAAAAGTATCTTTACAGTTTACATTTAAAAAAAATCAATGACATAGCCTTACTTAACAAGTTATGATGTAAATGATCTGCACGATTATCTTTTTGGTCAAGGTACTCCTTGATCGATACTTTACGTTATGATACAGCAATCCAAATCCAAATAATCAATTTTATGTGAGAATTCTTACCTAACACATATGAATTCTCTAATAAAAATGAATACTCTGTTACATTTTCTTATGGGTTTTAGTGAGATAATTATTTAATAGTGAATAAAAACACCTTCTCCACATCATATAAAACTGTTTAATATGGTAACATTCTAAAATTCATCCAGATTTACTTGGATAATAATAAATAATAAATAATAAAATAATAAATGAAATAAATGAAATAAAATAATAGATAAATAATTTCCTTGATCTTCTGACTTAACATATCTACATTTTCTTATTAAGGGAAAATTTGAAGTTCTGTCTGGGGGGGAAACAGTTTTAAAAGGGAAAAACAAAACAAAACCTCTCTGCCCAGAGAAATGGGAACAAACAAAAACCCCTGCAAAAACAAACATTACATTTTAATGATCACAACCCATTAACTGTATGTGAGGTTAACTACTAAAGAACACTTAAAAGCATGAAGAGTGTTAATTTCATAATCATCCCACGAATCTTAAACTTGAGCAACGTACTCTGCTTGCCAGGCTAGTAAAAATCAAGTACTTATTTACTTCTATACAGTGGCGAGTCTACACAAGGAATCTAGAGATGGTGGTAAGAGAATCACCTCTAAACACCTCCCTTTTTATGGGTGTGTGTTGACAGGAGGGGATGCGTAGAACGGTGGGGAAAACAGACATGCATATTTTCAACAAGCTTGTGTGTCCCTCCGCTTCTGCAATGTTCTAGTAGAGTGTCACCCTCAAGTGTTGCTGACAATGCAATGAACTCATTTTCCTCATTTGTGTCAGTGTTTCAACAACAAGGCCCTGGCCCGTATGAATGAGAAAAGTTATCAACTGTGGAGAAAGTTTCATGGATTTAAAAATTTTGATAAATGTCATTCTAAGGTCTAATTTAAAGCTAAAACACATTTTTTAACATACAATTATTCCCTAATAGTTAGAGAACAATCAGCAACTGGCATCAATATTTCCTCTGCAGTTGATATGGTTTCTAATAGCCTAAGAAAGGTTTTAAAAGGTGGTATTTAAGATAATGCTCCTTCCAGTATCCAGGAAAGGAAAAGTTGAAAATACTCACTTCTTTATTTGTGCCAAAGCAATGTTATTGATGAAAACCATATTTGAAAGTCCAATTGAATGTTCAAGTCCATCTACCATCTTCTGAATCGCCTGTATGCTTTCTACATCACCCTTCAAGGCACAGGCCTGAATAAGGCGGGTCACTGCTATCCTAGAAGGTATCTGCTCCAGATCCAAGGCTGTTTTTAGTGTTGTTAGAGCCTCTGTAATAGAAGAGCAGGCGACAGAGTTTTTCTTTTATGAACCGTACTGCCTAATGCATTTTGAAAACCAGCTTTTAAATACAAGCACCAAATGGCTACACACAAAAAGCTGTGAATAATTTATTCTAGATTACAGAAAATATTAATACTTTATGAGAAGCCTAAAAAAAAAATTGATGATTTATTTGACTATAAAATATCAGAGACCAGGGAATTTCTTCTTTAAATAATCAGAGAGAAAATACAAATGCTACTGACACAATGTGGGTTCCCTTCAGGGATAACATTCAAGGACTGATTTCAAGGAAACTGGCAAGTTCCGAAAAATATAAATCAGAATTTTAAAAATTAAAGAGTCTCCCAAAATACTGTTAACTTCTACCACATTCATACTTTCCCAGACTTTTTTACACTCAAAGATTACCTGATTATCAAAATCTCCTAATATCCCAAAGATTCTTCCTTGAAAAAAAGGTCTCTTTCTTGTCTAAACAGGATCGGCTATGCAGCCGCCGCCAAACTGCGCCATTCAACTTCCACACTAACAAATTCATTTTACATGATTGAACACTTAGTAGGTATTTGCTGGCACTCATTTTTCAAAGAAAATACAGATCATCAGATTCCCGTGGATATAGCCACAGGTTTTTTTTTAAATAAGTACCTGATCATGGATAAATATGGAATATCCTTTCAATTTCCGGACTCACGTGCCAGTGTAGCGAAATCATTACATTAAAGATAAAGTGGTAGACTGGAGGGAAAATTTAATACTCAGCGTAACAATCACCACTACCGCTACCAAGAAAAACTTCATGGCTTTTTTTTTTTTTTTAAAGTTTATTTATTTATTTATTAGAGAGTGAGTAGGAGAGAAACAGCATGAGAGGGGA